GGGCAGAACTGCCCTGTGGACTTCCGAGATGGGAGCAGACAGCCTCCTCCGAGACTGGTGGTTTCAAACCACTGACCCTGGGGCTAGAAGCCCAACAAGTAATCCGCTACGCCACTGGGATGCTATTCCCCTAATAGGCCGATTGCCTGGCTGCACGCTGAGCCACGGGGGTGGAGTACAGCGTCACCCACAGCCATCAAGTGACCCCAACTGAGAGTCACCCTACAGAGCATAGAACTGCTCCCTAGGGCCTCTGAGGCTGTGAATCTTTATGGGTGCAGACTGCTACCTCGTTCCCTTGGGAGCTGCGGTGGATTCGAACTGCTGACCTTATGGTGAGCAGCCCTATGTGTGCGTACGTAACCCACTATGCAACCAGGGCTCCTCGTTTAAAGGCCCTATTGGCATAGTGGTTTTGCGTTAGGCTGTTAACCACAAGGTCTAGAGTTCAAAGCCACTAGCAGATAATAATAATTTATCATGGGTCCCGAGGGAGGGAGGGTAAGAAGAGGAGCTGAGACGCTGAAAACATACAACTTTCCTCTAGTTCTCAAATGCTTCCTCCTCCCCACCCCCAGCCCCACTCTCATGATCCCAATTCTACCTTATAAATCCGGCTAGACCAGAGGATGTACACTGGTAAAAACAGAAAGTGGAAACACAGGGAATCCAAGACAGATGACCCCTTCAGGACCAGTGGTGTGAGTGGCTATACTGGCAGGGTGGGGGGAGGTTGGGCTGGAAAGGGGGAACCCATTACAAGGATCTACATGTGACCTCCTCCCTGGGAGACGGACAACAGAAACCAGGTTCTGGGGAACCACCACAGGGCGTGCCGTCTAGGGAGAGGAACAAACGGTGAGCAGACACAACCAGTCCAGCAGAGGAGATCCTGGGAGGAAACACACCACTGCCCCCGAGTCCATTCCGATTCCCAGGGACCCGATGGACAGAGTAGAACTGCCCCTGTGGGTTTCGGAGCCTATGGAATCTTGTCAAGGGCAGAAAGCCTCATCTTTCTCCCGAGGAACCGTGGGTAGGTTCAAACTGCTGACCTTGTGGTGAGAGGCCCAACGCGCAACCCACTACTCCATGCAAAGGGCTGTGCAGCGCGTGACAGAGACGCCTGCCCTGGCCTTGGGGTGGTCAGCAAAGATTCCCTAGAGGAAGGGAAGAGCAGGGCGAAGGCTGTCTGCCTGGTCCGGGAAGAGGAGAGGGCCCCGCGGGGCCTCCCC